CCAAGTAGCTGGGATTACAGGCATGTGCAACCACACCCAGCTAATTTCTTTATTTTTAGCAGAGCCAAGGTTTTACTAAAACCCAGCTAATTTCTGTGTTTTTAATAGAGCCGAGGTTTTTTGGCCAGGCTGTTTTGAACTCCTGACCTCAGGTGATCCACCTGCCTCAGCCTCTCAAAGTGCTGGGATTACAGGCGTGAACCACCACACCCAGCCTTGTTACTCTTGTTACTCTTTTTTTTCTTTTTCTTTCTTTTTTCAGACAGAGTTTCGCCCTTGTTGCCCCGGCTGGAGTGCAATGGCGTAATATCAGCTCACCACAACCTCCACCTCCCAGGTTCTAGCAATTCTCCTGCCTCAGCCTCCCCAAGTAGCTGGGATTACAGGCATGCGCCACCACACCTGGCTAATTTTGTATTTTTAGTAAAGACGGGGTTTCCCCATGTTGATCAGGCTGATCTTGAACTCATGACCTCAGGTGATCCACCCACCTTGGCCTCCCAAAGTGCTGGGATTATAGAGGTGAGCCACCGCACCCAGCCTTGGTTACTAACTCTTAATGAATCTGCCTGTTTGGGTGCAACTACCCCTTGAGGATTAAATATATCAATTAAGGATTAAAAGTGTCCGAAGCTGTTTCTGGTCTCTACATCCTCTATGCTTTATACATAGTCTTTACTAAATAAGGAGTTTTGAAAAATGAATTTATCAAATAGTATAGCTAATTTATAGTAATATGTATTGACTCCTTATATCTGCTTCCTTTCAGGTGAGCACACCAGGCGCTGGAGCACCCCTGGGAAGAGAATACAGAAAGATGAGGAGGAAGGGTGCCAAAAACAATGTCTTCTTTGGCCATTTGCTCCTTGACCCTAATGCTAGAAAGGAAGGAGAAAGGGAAGATGAAATAATTTATAAAATTCCACCGAATTGTCAGTTAATTAAATAAATCCTTTTTAAAATTTTGTTGTCTTTTTCTTTTGTTTCTTTATATTATTCAGTCTTTATTACCTGCACTACACAGATGTAAAAATAAATAACTTTTGAATTAAACTATACAGCGTGTGATCCACGGAAAATTTATGTCATGCCACATTTACCTGAAATTTTTGGCAAGTGTGAATTCATTAGCCATTGAAATAAACCAGAAAGAAGGAAGCATACTGGTTTTGTCTCAAGCTTTCCTAGCCCTTCCCTCTCCTTGGGCTTAAACGAGTCACCTACCTGCTCTAGTATACATCTTAGAATCTTCGTAACTTCGTAACTTTCTCTTTTGTGAGTTCTTTCATGCCTGGTTTGTGAGGAAGTGGAAGCAGGGAAGGTAGAAGAGGTAAAGAATGGAATTGCTGGAAAAAAAGAAAACTAAGAGAAAAGTCACTTACCAGGACCCATCATTCCCTTCACATTACTGTCTCCTACATGAACAGGTCTGGACTCTTGGGCTGCAGAGAAAGGAAAGCATCCATTCAGCGTTCATTCTACTAACATGGACTAAGCACCTTCCATGAGCCAGGTGCTTGGGGCAGACTCAGAGATTCTACAGTTTTGTGGGGGAGGCAGAGCAGTAAAAAAAAATAATAATAATAGAAATTACAGTATAGTATGGCAAGTGCTATTTTCGCAGCAGTAAAAAGATACAATAGCGGTACTTACCTCAAAGATTACAATAAGAAATAAATAAGTTAATATTTGTAAACTGCGTGAAGTACTACCTGGCATATTATACCAGTTAAAGAGTTGTTTAACTATAATGGTGGTGGCAGTGGTATAATGGTAATAATAAAAAGAGACAGAATGATACTGTTAAAATGTAAAATGATACATGTTAAAATGTAAACCAGCCTGGGCAACAAGACAAAAACCCCGCCTCACCCCCCACCTCCAAACCACAGAAATTAGCGGGGCATGGTGGTGTGCGCCTGTGGTCCCAGCTACTTGGGAGAGTAAAATAGGAAGATCGCTCAAGCCCAAGAGGTTGAGGCTGCAGTGAGCCAAGATTGCCCCACTGCACTGCAGCCTGGGTAACAGGTGTACCCTATGACAAAGCAATTAAACTCCAGTCTGGGTAGCAAGAGTGAAACTCTGTTTCAAAAACAAAAAAGAAAACCAGCAACAACCAAAAAACCCACTGAGGCTTCTGTATTGAGCATTCTTTTAGAACGCTTGCCCTGGGAGAGGCTAGCTGCCAAATTGTAAGGCAGCAACTTAGAGAGTCCCATGTTACAAAAACTGGAGCCTGCCAATAACCATGTGAATAAGCTTGGATATAGATGCCCCTGAGTAGAGCGTTCACACGAGATGACAACCATAGCCAACACCTTGATTACAGCCTTAATGAGAGACCTTGAGCCAGAGGCACTCAGCTAAGCTGTGCACAGATTCCTGACTCAGAGAAACTGTGAACCATGAATGGTTGCTATTTTAAGCTACAGAATTTGGGGACGATAGATAATAGTTGTACTATTTTATCATTAACAGTGGATAAGCTAAGACTTTTTGAATGTTTGGTTCTTGAACCCTGAGTTTTAACATAAGCTGCCAAGTATGTGCAGAATGTCTTATCATAGCACATTAATCTTAAATTTCTGCAGCAACTCAGTAGCATAAACTACGACCATGTCTATGTAAGAGGAAAGGAAGGAGGGGGTTGCCACTAAATAGTTCATTTAATTCATGTGGGCACTGAAATCATCTGGATCAGCTGTTTTCAGTGGATTCAACACATTCTGTGATTATTTATTTCCCTGGGGACTGTTTCACATTGTCTAAACATGTACAGGTTTACTTTGTAAAAATAATTTTTAACCTTTTATCTTGTGAACACGTTTAGCTGCACTGGCACTGAACTTTCACTTTCTAAGCCGATTGTATACTCTACTCTTTCCCAGCGATGCTCATCCTCTTATGTAGAGCTGTTCATGTCCTAGAGGAAAGAAAATAGAGCCACCTGCAATGAACCCAGTCCCCAGATGCATCAAGTGAGTTTTCCCAGGTTGTGCCTATCAGTTTCTCAATGAATTACTCAAACAGATAAAAAATAAAAATAAAAAGGCAGGCTGGGCGCGGTGGCTCACACCTGTAATCCCAGCACGTTGGGAGGCTGAGGTGGGCAGATCACGAGGTCAGGAGTTGGAGACCAGACTGATCAACATAGCGAAACCATGTCTCCACTAAAAATGCAAAAAATTAGCCCGGTATGGCAGCAGGTGCCTGTAATCACAGCTATTCGGAAGGCTGAGGCAGGAGAATCGCTTGAACCTGGAAGGCGGAGTTTGCAGTGAGCTGAGGATCCCACCATTGCACTCCAGCCCAGGCAACAGTGTGACTCTGACTCAAATTAAAAAAAACTTATTAGAGTAAGTGATTTTTTTTCTAATACTTCTCTCTTATGGGTTAGCATAGTATTGATTGCACAATAAATTATTTTAATTCAATTGAAATTTAGAAGAATCCAGATTAGTATTCCCCCGCCTAAAAAAAAATATTTAAATTGAGCAAACTCTTGTGGCCTTTTAGATCCTCTGGATTCTCCTAAATTCCAGTTACAAGAGGAAAAATTCCAGACAATACACCATTTTCCTCTAACAAAGATGAAGGGGTTAAGCCCATTCTTAAGCCCTAGGAATCAGGAGAAAAATACTTGATTAATTCAGTATGATTTGTGAACTGTACCTTTTTCATAGGCCTGAGAAGGCAAAAGGTTGGTAAAGTCTTCGCTTGGAAGAACAGGCTCAGGGATATTGATTGAACGAAAAGGACTTCCTTGTGCTTGTGCAGGCCCGGCCTGTGAGCTGTGTTCTTCTTTCTGAGTTTTCCTAGTAAAGAGAAATAAAGACAAGGCAATTCTGGTTCTTAATATCTGATCTATTAGGAGGAGATTGAGCTCAGACTAACTCAAGAAAATGTCTGAATTATTAGGTTGAACGATATAAATTGCCATTTTTGAAAATTAAAAATGGTCAAATACTAGCAATTCATATGGTCCAACTTAATTCATCACTTCAGTTGGAGAAGAAAAAAACTTCTTATATTTACAAATCACCCTTCTAATTATAATACCCACATTCTTATTTTTTTGTTACTGGCTTCCTTATCATCAGGATCTTCAGAGTTTGCAGTGGTGACAATTTGCTTGAGATGATTTACATTCACTTAGCAATGCAACTCAGAAGTAGCAGAAAGCAGCAGGTCCTTTCCTGAAAATAGCCTATTCTCCAGGGTCACACACATATTATTCCTACAATTCTATTTTCAATTTGTTAATATTAAAAACACATAAGTAGGCTGAGCACTGTGGTTCACGCCTGTAATCCCACCACTTTGGGAGGCCAAGCCAGGAGGATCACTTGAGCCCAGGAGTCCGAGACCAGCCTGGGAAAACATAGGGAGACCCCATTTCTACAATTAAAAAAAAAATTAGCTAGCGTGGTGGCCGCACCTATAGTTCCAGCTACTCAGGAGATTGAGGTGGGAGAATCATTTGAGCCCAGGAGTTCAATGCTGCAGTGAGCTGTGATCATACTGCTACACTCCAGCATGGGCAACAGAGCAAGACTCTGTCTCAAAAAAAAAAAAAAAAAAAAAAGAGAAAAGGAAAAACAAAACCACATAAGTAACAATAAAGATTATGTATGTTTAATGGTGAAACTTTACTTGATTCAACCTGGTCCAGGCATTGTTTAACATAAATTTATTTTCAACCCTAGAAGTAAAATAATAATTGCATTAGAGATATTTTAGAAAATTAATAAAAAAAGAAAATCACTGATGGTGCTATCTTAACACAAGCATCATTATTTTTAAGTATATCTTTCTAGTTGTTATTTTACATATTTTTACCCTTGTAATCAAAGCACTCATGTCATTTTATGTCACTTTCATTTTACATATCGTATTAAATGCATTTTTTTTTACATAATAGGTACCACCCATCTTTGGTATTAGCCAATGTTATAATTCTATCAGCTTCATCGAATGCCAAGCCGTGAAGCACATTGGCCAGCTAGCTAGATACTGATAGTGGGGAAGCTGTTCTAGGTGCCTCTGCAGAAGCCATTGCTTATGAGTTTGCCTTCGGTACATTTTTAAAAGACACTCACTTGGCTTTAACTTTTCGAGATTCTCTTCGCTTCTCCTGTTGAAGCTGTTCGATTTTCTGTTGCATTTCTTCTTGTTTGGAAGTGATGGCTTGGATCATTGACATGGCATTGCTCAGCTCTTCCTAAAAAATAAGAATTGTTGTGTTTTAAACTGGCACATGGGGTAAAAGTATATCACATAATCTAGCATACTGTACACTTTTAATACCTATTTATTGAATAAATGAATGAATAAGATTAAACAAATTACTTCCATTGTGGCCTCAAATTTTAAGACAGAGCTCCAAAAAAGAAAACATGAAAGGTATTTTTCCATGATAATTATGAATGGCCCAGAGGAAAAATTCTTATATTTGGCTGCTATGGAGAAAGGCAAGTTTTCTACTCCTGTTACTGAGACCAAAATTCTCTTGTCAGCAAGGAAATAAAAGAGGGGCTTACCTTGAAATAGTTTAATGAATTCTTCATCTCCGTAACTTTTTCTTCCATGGAACATCTGCAGCTCTTAACCTTTTCTTCCAAAGCATATTCTCCATGTTGAATTCTTGACAGTTCTTGCATTGCTTCTGTGAAACCAGTTTTGAGTTCAGAGGCTAGGGCCTGCAACTAAATAATGCATGAAAAGTTAATTCAATTTGCTGAAAATTATAACAAGTGGCACCATTGGCCCTTGAATCTTTCCTTTGTTTGAGAAACGAGGCTTCTGATAATCTACAGACCTCATTTACTAGTGTACTTCAGTTTGGACAACTTAAGACAACCCTGGCCCCATTCGTCTAAGAAAAAGAGTATCTTCTTTATACAGCACATGCTAAAGCTTGAAAAATGACAAGAAAGCAAGCCATTAATTAAGTTTACAAGTGCTTCTGCAAGCTTCTATTTATTCTGACACCTTTGATTAAAATGAGATTTACTTGAAAAGAAACATGTATGTAAATCTTGATCCAATAACTCTTCAAAATCTGTGAAAGAAGAAAATGAGTCATGTTCTCTCTGGTTATTATAAGAAGTAAGGAAATTCAGTTCTTGCTTTCTTAAGAAATTAAAAAACAAACAGAGTAACAACCAAGCATAACTGAGAATTTATTTGAAAGAAAAGAAGTTTTTTTAAAAAAAATACTATTGGACGGTATCATGGGAAAAAGGAGGTAATGGTATTTTCAATGACGGTAGGCTTTAACTCATAAGAAAGGCACAGGAATATCTGATAGAAATGGTAGGAGCTCAGAATGTTGTTGATGGTGATATGAGTCATCTTCAGCAGTCAGTCCTGGTCATATAGGAGCTCACACACTGAACTTCTATTGTCAACTCCGACATCATGAAAGAGATGTTCAATTTTGGATCAGGTAGGGTACAAATCCTAGTTCTGTCCTAAAGTACCAAGACCTTAGGCACGTTGTAGCATTTTTCTCATCCATCAAATAGGCATGATAATATCTATTTCACAGGGCTGTCTTGAAAATTAAATGCATAAATGTGGGTAAGCTGCCTACCACAGCATATACTTGGTGCATAGATGTTCAAGAAATGTTCATTCTTCTCCCCCATTAGGTGGCAAATCAAAAAGTTAAGCACAAACAGAAATGTGGAGAAAATGAAGCACTTCTAAAGTTCAGTTTTATTTATTGAACAAATGAAAAAAACATTTTCAACAGACAGTAAGTTAATAATAACAATAAGATAATAACATTACTTTCTTGACATTTATGATCTTACACTCTGCTAGGTAGAGGCACTCTTAGCTCCACATGTCTCTTTAAAACAGAATCATTTAGAAGGCTTATTCTATAATCAAGTTTTGTTGTTATTGTTGTTGGGTTTTTTTTTTTGTTTTTTTTTTGAGACGAAGTTTCCCTCTTGCTACCCACGCTGGAGTGCAATGGCGCGATCTCGGCTCACCGCAACCTCCGCCTCCTGGGTTCAGGCATTTCTCCTGCCTCAACCTCCTGAGTAGCTGGGATTACAGGCACGCGCCACCATGCCCAGCTAATGTTTTGTATTTTTAGTAGAGACGGGGTTTCACCATGTTGACCAGGATGGTCTCAATCTCTTGACCTCGTGATCCACCCGCCTCGGCCTCCCAAAGTGCTGGGATTACAGGCGTGAGCCACCGCACCCAGCTGTTGTTTTGTTTTGTTTTGTTTTGAGACAGGGTCTTGCTCTGTCACCCAGGCTGGAGTGCAGTGGCATGATCTCGGCTCATTACAACCTCTGCCTCCCAGGTTCAAGTGATTCTCCTGCCTCAGCCTCCCAAGTAGCTGGGATTACAGGCATGCACCACCATGCCCAGCTAAGTTTCATATTTTTAATAGAGATGGGGTTTCACCATGTTGGCCAGCCTGGTTTCAAACCCCTGACCTCAAATGATCCACCTGCCTTGGCCTCCCGAAGTGCTGGGATTGCAGGCATGAGCCACCATGCCTGGCCTCAAATATTTTTCTTTTAAAGGAATGAAAACTAAAGTCCAGATACCTTCACAGAGTTCCTTTGAATGTGTATTTCTGAACATTTTCAGAATCAGGTCATCCACATGGTTTCCACCTACAAAGGCACCTCCCACTCTACAGGGTCTCCTGTATCACATTTTAAAAATGTAGGATTTTGTGGTTCATTGTGCCTTACAAATGATTGCTGGGAGTAGGGAGAAATAAGAGGAACCAGAGAGATCATTTTGAGGAAAAAAGCAGAGCCTGTCAAGTGTTTGGGGCTAGAAGGCTGGGAAACATCATGAACAATCCATTTTTCATTTCAATCATTTTAAATTGTAATTAATCTTTGCAATGGATTTTGGCACATGTCCTAATTTAGTCATCATGGTGGATTAAATCACCAGATCAACCACTTTCTGATCTGATAATTTTTCATTATACAAATATATCTTCTGTGAGCAAAAAAAAAAAAAATTGATAGCTATGTAACATCAAACCAAAAATGTATGCAAGTTTTAAAATTGGAAGAAGGAAAGCTGACATTCTTCTTAGTGACGTTCACTTAGATTTCCTGATTGGGGAAAAAAAAAGAAAACACTATCCAACAGAAATAGGTTTCATTATCTTGCTCTCTTAGGCAGGGTTTTTTGCAGAGACCAAAAGGCAGCAGCAAACTCCTAGGAAAAGGACCTTTCCTTCCCTGCAGAACCCCAGTTCTCAAAAAATTATTAAAATTTTCCCCTGATAGCCAGGTGACATAGGTACTCTGGGTCTTTGAAAGCTATTTTTGAGTCATGTGCCCATTTCCTACCAACATATTACTCTGAGCTCCATGGGTACCTGCTATTGAAGTCTTGCTACTGCTTTGAAAACAGCTTCACAGCACTGACCAGTGAGGGAGGGAAGCCGTTAGGAGGACACACACCTGATACAACATGTCATTTTAGTTAACAGCCAAAAACGCTAACCGATTTCGCCACGGAGACCGTGACTAACATGTCATTTTAAGATGCTGAGGGATCCTAATCTCTTCAGCCCCTACAGGGTGGTTTTCAACTACCAACCTGACCACTCCCTTGTGAACAATAAATACTGTGAAGACACCGTCTTAACATCTTTTCTCTGCTCTCTCTTCAGTTTTCTTTTTTGACAGCCCACAGCCCACCCCAAGGATTAGAAACAGGTGTCTACCTTGTTCTCCAGGGAGTTGAACACGTTCCTCATCTCGTTGATTTTTTCATGAAGGTGCTCTAGAGAGGTTATGATCCCTCCATCCTGCCGCTGGAGGCGGGCTCCCACTGGAGGTAGGTTCAGGGAAGACTTGTACTTCGAAGCCTACGGTACCACAGAGGGCATCTTAGGCTCAAATAAATAAGGGAGAGGAGTCCGAATTCTTCCTATTTCCTGCTCTTAATTTCTGAGTCTCAATTTTCTTTCTTTTCTTGGCTTCTTAACTCTTCTTAAGATGAATTTTAGTCAGTGTCTTCCAATTTTTTTTTTCATGAAAGATCTCTCAGGCCTCAAACTTAATTTTCATAAATGTCAACTTGTGTTTTACAGACATTTCTTCCTTTTTGCCACATTACCCAGGTCAGGAGGCTACCAAGAGGTAAATTAGGGGAACTGGACCTGTGCTTTGGGAACCTTGCAAAGTCATAAATGTCGATGTTTGGGAAACCTCCCAATTCTTACAATTCTATAAGAGCAAAAGCCAGGTGTTCCGCAGTGGCACATACATGATGGCAAGGAGGCCAAGGTAATTGCTTTGGTTTCCCCCTAAACCAGGGTCACTGCAGAAGCAATATGAGTTTTCTGGCAACTTCCATCTTCCAATTGTAGGGCTCTGTATTGATCCCCAGAAGTGCAATGATTTAAAATACAAAGTGAGCAGCAAGTAATTTGAATATCGAGAGTAAACTTCCCAAATCTACTCCTCTACATTCCCTTAAAGTCATTCTTGCAGGGCCTTATTGAGACTGACATGAAGCCTGGTGTGCTGGAAATTTCTCTTATTGATCCCTGGATACATTACAGGCCTAGAAGAGTTAACTTCTCTGGTATCAGAAGAACATTCCTCAATGGCAAAAAGAGACTGAGACTCAATCAGGATTTAAAAATCCTAGAAAACTTTCAATGACAGTTTTGATGATGAAACCTATTACTGTAGGACTGGTTCCCATAGTGTTTCAATTAGAGGTCCTTTTAGCACATCACTTCTTTTAAAAATTATTTTCATTACAGAGAAAAATAAACAAGAGAAAAGAGAATTGCCAAATAGAATCATCCCAAATTTCATTATTTCAGTGTTACCATTAACCCTCACATTTCCTTCTATTTTGTTCTATGCATATAAATGCAGATATCTATATAGTTGAAATCATACTGCAGATACATTTGATTCTACCTCTCTTTTTTTTCCTCCTAATATTCCAATAAGGCATTTACAATAGCCTTCAAAATGTTTCTGAAGGTCTACTTTTGATGGCTACATAATATTCCATCCCGTGAATTTGCCATACTTTACCTACCCATTCACTTTTGTTGGAAATGTATGTTGCTTGTAATTTTTCAATGTTATAACTAATGCTGCAAATTATGTTTTTGTTTTAAAGTTTTGTATATATTTCTAATTATTTCCTTAGAATAAATTCCTAAATATGAACTTCCTGTGGGTCGAAGATGTTAGTAGTATTTGACCCAAAGGGAAAGCTACTATACCACAGGGAGGCAATCTGTTCAACTAATTAATAACTATACAAGTTATATTTGACCAGAGGATTTGAAAAGTTATGGTAATATGTCTGTATATTCTTGGAAATGTTATATATGATATGCAATGTCCTAAATTAGTGGATTTGGAAAAACATATCTTGAATAATAAAATACATGAAACAATAGAAATAGAAGAAGCCACAGTGTTTACATTCCTAAGGCTACAAGTGAGCTTAAAACACAGTTGGAGCTGGGCGCGGTGGCTCACGCCTGTAATCCTAGCACTTTGGGAGGCTGAGGTGGGTGGATTACCTGAGGTCAGGAGTTCAAAACCAGCCTGGCCATCATGGTGAAACCCCATCTCAAAAAAAAAAAAGAAAGAAAAAAAACACAGTTGGAGTTCAAATCATTAGTGTGAATGTTGGGCTAGCACTAAATTGTGCAGTTACTACGTCTGTTGCCTTAATTATGGGACCCTTTCTTATGTTAATGGGATCATAATTTTTATAATCCATATGCAAAATGAAGTAATAAAGGGTAAAATGATGCCACCTGACTCTGGAAAAGAGATCTGATTCAACAACTCTGAGAGGGGTGGGTATGTGCAGTGAACAAAGGATAAGATGAAAAGGAAAAGGGAATAGACTTTTCTAAAAGTTTCTAACAATTACACACACTTACCAGAACGAAATATTATTAATTATTATTTGCTAATTAGTCAAACTATAATACTCCTTATTTTAATCATTGCTTCTTTGAGCTTCAACTTTTTCTTAGCCATCTATAACTTTACTTTGGTAAACTGTCTGTGTTCCTTGCTCATTTTCTACTGGAGTTTTGGAAGTTTCCATTTTTATTGGCCTTCACGAACTACTAATTTATGATTAAACTTTTGAAATATTAATGTGTCTGTTCTCACTCATAGGCAGGTGTTGAACAATGAGAACACATGGACACAGGGAGGGGAGCATCACACACTGGGGTCTGTTGGGGAGGTTAGGGGAGGGACAGTGGAGGGTGGGGAGAAATGCCAAATTTAGATAACAGAGGGATAGAGGCAGCAAACCATATTGCCATGTATATACCTATGCAACAATCCTGCATTATCTGCACATGTACCCCGGAACCTAGAGTACAATTTAAAAAAAAAAGAAATACTGTTGTGTCTTCCTAATTTTGTTATTTGCCTCTAAATTTGTTTAGAATATTTTTATGATGGAAATAGTTTAAATTATAATGTGGATGAACTCTCAAATCTCCTTCTTTGTGATTTCTCCCAGTGCTTTTTAACTTAGAAAGACATCTCACATTTGGAGACAAATGAAATATTCACTTATTTTAAAATTTTATGGTTTGAATTTTTAATATTTAAACCTTTAATCCACTTTGGCGTTTGTTTTAATTAGAGTATGAAGTGAGGATCTCTTCTTTTCTTCCAAAAGACCCAGGCAAAATCTTCCCAACACTGGCACAAGACTAAATGAGTGCATCAGACCTCTTGGCTCAGAGAAATACAGACATCTTGTAATATAGTCATCCATTCATTCATTCAGTTCATATTTATTGAATATGTATTATATGCCAGGCATTGTACTTTACACTGAGAATTCAACAGAGAGCAAAATGGACTAAATTCCTGCCCTTAGAGCTTACATTCTATATGAGGAGACAGAAAAAAAAAAAAACCAAATCAGGTAATATATACGATAATGTCAGGTAGGTATGGGATCTATCCAGAAAATAAAGTGAGATAGAGAATGACCAAAATTTCATATTTTACTTCAGGTGCCTTCCCTTCTACTATAAATTTTATTCTGTTATGGTTAACTCCTCCCCAGTTCCCTCCTTCCTCTTTCTCTTCTTCTTTCTTTACTTCTCCTTTTTCTTCTTCTTCTTTTGGTTAAATGTTGCTTGGAGTAAGCAGACTGGGGCTTAGGAAGTGTTCTTTTAAAACAAGGATGGGGTTATGATAGCATCACAGAGGTCATAGAGACCAACTTCACTTCCATTGCTTTGTGTGATCCACTGTGAACAGACGTACTAGGATTTGTAACACAATAAGATAATGAGGCCACCCCACTGCAGTTATATTTAGCCAACATTCAGGGAGTGACCTACATAAAATCTATAATAGACTTTAAATCATACCTGACTTTAAAGAGGTACTCACACTCATTCAAATGTCATACACAGGTCAGATGAGAACAGAGGGGAAGTGGGCAAGGAAAGCATCTGGAGCACTTGGACCAGTGAGGCATCAAATCAGCGCTGAGTGAAAACCCATTTTTGCTTCTAGGCCTTTGTTCAAGCTAGTCCCCTGTCCCAAACAACCTTACCTATACCTACTGGTCAAATGATCTACTTGTCCTTAAGTACCTAGCTCAAATCTTCCAGTCAATACTAATTCATCCCTTCCCCGCAGAATTTTATTAATGCCTCTATTACAATCCTTTCAACAGCTTACCTTGTAAGAACAACTATTATTCTTTTTTTTTTTTTTTTTTTTTTGAGATGGAGTCTTGCACTGTTACCCAGGCTGGAGTGCAATGGCTTGATCTCGGCTCACTGCAACCTCCATCTCCTGCGTTCAAGTGATTCTCCTGCCTCAGCTGCCTGAGTAGCTGGGATTACAGGCATGCACCACCACGCCTGGCTAATTTTGTGTATCTTTAGCAGATACAGAGTTTAACCATGTTGGCCAGGCTGGTCTCAAACTCATGACCTTGTGATCCACCACCTCAGCCTCCCAAAGTGCTGGGATTACAGGTATGAGCCACTACGCCCAGCCAAGAGATATTATTCTATGTGTTCTTCAGGTTGTGGACACATAAAAATCAATGAGAATGTCTGTTTCATCTGTTTAATCTGCCACGAGGTCAAGCAGTAGACTTTGCACATAGTAACTGCTCAATAAATGTGCATTCTATTGAAATGAGGCTGTTTCCTCCATTCATCCTATAGCTGGTCTGAGATAGGGGCAATATGGTTAAGTAATGGTTTCATAATCCTATGTTGGCTTGCCCTAGTTTGGTCTATAGCAAAGATCTCTTACATGATAATTCTGGGAACTGGTTGTCATTTTCACTTTACTGTCATTTAAACTCAACAAATCTAAATAACATTTCCCCCAAACTATCTACTCTTCTGGACTCCTATATTTCTGCTTGAGAGAGCATTCTCTTTTCCTAGTTACCAGGGCTTAAAACCTTAGAACCAACTTTGAAAGCATCCTTTCTCCCAACCTCCCACCAAGCTCCGTCAATGTTTTCTTCCTTTTTGGATATTCCAGACAGCACTGCCTAAAGTCTGGAGAGGAGCATGAGTTTCCCTTGCCCAAGTTGCATTTATATTACAAATTATGTCAGAATAAAGTTCCATGATTTTTAAGAACAGAAATGTACTTTAAATTTATGGTTGAGAGACAGAAGCCAAGTAAACACTACTTAGAGGACCAAAGAAATCTCATATGACTCTTACTGCAAAGATGTTTTGCAGAACTTTTATCTTCCTTGTAAAGTAAATTGTTCCCATTGTTTAAAAAGAGCTTGAAAATTTTTCCTATGCATATATTTGAACATTTACAATGTTAACCCTTTTTCATTCTCAATTCTCCCTGCTGACATAGAAAGCAAGAAAACAGATCTTTCCCTCTCCTCTCTGATGGACACGTTACCTTGCAGTGTAACAGCCATGGCGATGGGGGCAGCAGGCAAGAGAAGCAGAGTGGAGGTGGGAGTGGTAGTGCTTCGTTTTATAAATGGGATAACTTGTCTTTCTTTTTTCTTTTTTCTTTTTTTTTGAGATGGAATCTTGCTTTGTTGCCCAGGCTGGAGTGCGGTGGCGCGATCTCAGCTCGCTGCAACCTCCGCCTCCCAGGTTCACGTGGTTCTCCCGTCTCTGCCTCTTGAATAGCTGGATTACAGGTGTGCGCCACCATGCCCAGCTAATTTTTGTATTTTTAGTAAAGATGGGGTTTCATCATGTTGGTCAGGCTGATCTCAAACTCCTGACCTCATGATCTGCCCACCTTGGCCTCCCAAAGTGCTGGGATTACAGGCGTGAGCCACTGCACCCAGCAAACAACTTGTCTTGCAATAATGAGTTCTCAGCCTAGCACAGTGGTGCTCCCCTATAGTCTCAGCTACTCAGGAAGCTGAGCTTGAGCCCAGGAGTTAAAGACCAACCTGGGCAACACAGAAAGACCCCGTCTCAAAAAAAAAAAAAAAATCAGTTCTTTCCAAAGTACACTGTGAGTAGCGGGACCCACTGCACTGCCTGTCTCACAGGCCTGCTAAAAGAACAAGTGCAACAATATATATGGAAGCACTTGTAAGTGCTAAAAACATCTACGCATGAAGGATAGTCAGTCATCACTATTATACATGGAAGCATTCCAAACAATCGATTTGTCTTTACCTGGTAAATCTGCGTGGAAGGATTATTCACCGGCATATGTTCATTCTCTCCTGCAGAGAGAAAGAGCTTTGTTCAATCAACACTACTCATTCTGTCCCTATCCCCTTCAGATATATACAGGAAATAAGGGAATGTATACGATCCTGCATTTGTGCCTGCATAACAAGAAACCAATGATTCAAGACAAACAAAAAATGAGCTGATATATGTGGTATCCATATTCACACATCCTAATCACTAAACCAGTATCTACCTGATAGACTCTTGCAATAGAAAACCACATTCTACTATAGTAGGGAAGTTTCTCAAGCAAACTGAATGATGTGTGATTATTAAACACACAGAAAGGAATTCGCAGGAAATGTCTTTATTATGTTCTTGAGGCTGTCTGAAATTGACCTGCGGGGACAGTTCTATAGTCAGGAAGGCGACTCTTCACCAGGCACTTACTGCTCTTAGTGTGCCTGCATAAAATGTCCTCTACTTCTCCCACCTCTGATCTTTGCCAGACTTCTGAACTGTGTCCTACTGTCACAGCCAAGTTCAGCTAAGGGAATCTTGCTGTCCTCCTAGGCAAGACAGCTGACAGAATTGTCAACGGAAAGGTTCTGGGAAGGATACAGGCAGAAGAAAACAGTATTGTATAGTACTAGGCTTCAAGAAACACAGGGCACACACAGAGGAGGTAGTAGGTTGTAGAAAACCATTCACAGGCCTGGCACAGTGGCTCACGCCTGTAATTCCAGCACTTTGGGAAGCTGAGGCAGGTGGATCACCTGAGATCAGGAGTTGGAGACCAGCCTGGCCAACATGGTGAAACCCCATCTCTACTAAAAACTCAAAAATTATCCGGGCATGGCGGTGGGCGCCTATAATCCCAGCTACTCGAAAGGCTGAGGCAGGAGAATTGCTTGAACACGGGAGGTGGAAGTTGCAGTGAGCCGAGATTGAGATCATGCCATTGCATTCCACCCTGGGCGACAAGAGTGAAACTCTGTCTCAAACAAGAGGGGAGGGGAGGGGAGTCGAGGGGAGGAGAAGGGAGGGGAGGTGAAGGGAAGAGAGGGGAGGGGAGGGGAAGGGAGGGGAGGGGAGAGGACTGGAGAGACCATTCACAACCTAGGGAGAAAAAGAGGTTAGCCTAGAATGTCTTTTTCAGAACCACATTGGTTGGCCATAAAGATGAGGCAATCCATGTAAAACATTCAGCTGGTTGCTTATCCATTTAGCTACTTCTCCAGTATGTCGCAATGCATACATTGTGTGCATCAAGCAGTTTATAGAGGAAACGCCTGGTTGCAAACATTTGGTTGTGTGGTTGTGTATATTGTTCTCCTAAGGCAAGCTGGTACAGGAAACCCCTCCAGCCTCAGTATTTAAGCTCATAAATAATATACAGCCTTAGCCCGGAATTTATGCACACAGAAGGCTGGCCCTACAAAATCCATTTGATTTGAGGTTACCGAAACTTCCTGCATAAGCTTGAGTAAAGATTATTTAGAGAATTTCATACTATGTCCCAACAGCCTGGTAAAATAGCAAGAATTAGGGCTTTGGAGGAAGGATCCAGATCCCAGACCTAACTTTGATACTTTGTGGTTGTCACCTGACTTCTCTATGACTGTTTCCTCTTCTGTAAATTGGAGATGATAAGAGAATCTACTTCTATACAGCTGTTTCTATATGGTAACTATTAAAAGAGAAAGCACTTATGCTTCTAGGCTAGTTTAGAAGGTGATAGATGTCTAGTATTTGAATCTGTGTCTTGGCCTTACCCAGCTTGTTGTTCTGAGAGAGTCCTAAAGTTATTGCTAAGAAAAATAAGATAACAATCCAGAACAAATTCTAATAGCATTTCCTATTTTTTCAGCACCCAGTCTATAGTCTTCATAGTCATTATATTATGATAGGGAAATGAAAATAGTTGACATATTGTCATGTTTTGAGATAGTGGTATACAAGACAAAAATCTACATTTCTTGAATTCTAAGCCCTAAAGCAAGACATAGGAAAAATCTGACCTTGCTTTGTTTTGGTTTTTTCCATAGTGCCGGTTACTTCTCTTCTCCCGCTTATTCTTCAACATTGCATCCTCATCGTCCTGGCTCAGGCCACCTCCTCTTCCCTGCACCTGTCAATTCAAATCAAGAGTAAGGGATAACAGGTAGAACTGTCAAAGAAACTGAACTTACTTCAGGTGTTAACTTTAAAAAGTTGAACACAGCCTGAGGTACATGCAATTTCAGAAGAGGAAAAAATATTAAGCTGAGTAAACATTTAACGTCAAGATAAATGTCATTTTGTGAATACATATAAAATCCATTATTCAAATTTAGAGTAGTTTTTCAATATGCTACATTCTTTTTTGGATCAAATCAATTAATTAAGACCTATTGGTTTTATTAGCAAGTCATAGTTTAAGGAAATTTTCTTTGCTTTTTTTTTCAAACAGGGTCTTGCTCTGTCACCCAGGATAGGGTGCAGTGATGCAATCATGGCTCACTGCAGCCTTGACCTCCTGGGTCAAGCCTCCCACCTCAGCCTCCCAAATAGCTGGAACCACCGGCACATGCCCCCACACTTGGAGATATATATATATATATATATTTTGTAGAGATGGGGTCTCCCTATGTTGCCCAGGTTGGTCACAAACTCCCAGGCTCAAGTGATAATCTGATCTTAGCCTTCCAAAGTGCTGGGATTACAGGTGTGAGCCACCATACCCTGCCCCAAGGAAATTATCTTATGGAGAAAAAACTTGAGCAGATATAAAGGCCAATACCTCTGTTTCTATTCCATTAAATAGTACGTTTCTTGATAGCCTTGTCCTCACTTTCGGCACCTGGTAGACTCCTTTGCATCCATGAAATGCTAATCAAATATGCTGTGTCTGCCGTAACCAGTAGACATGAAGCTGCGAGGTCGGAATGCAATCCAACACACACTCAATGTTGAGGATACTGGCCCTCTTTTCAGCCATCCAGCATTTTAACCCTTTCCTAAGTTTGAAGAATTCCCCTGCCTTGTGAGGCTTGATCAGATGCCTCCCATTATAGAGGCTGAAAGCGCCAGGTTCTTCTAGCCTCCCTTGCAGCTAAGGCATGATAGACACATGACCTAGGACATACCACTCAGATGCACCTGCCCCAATTAACACTGGCAGTTGCAAAAATAATTCCTAAGGCAGATACTTGATATTCTTTCTACCTTCTAAGACAGCAGTGGCAGTGAGGGTAGTGGTGGTGACCATTTTCTGTTACAAACATATTAGGAAATTCAAGGTGCTGTTTTCAGTGCTTTCCTCACTAGAACAGTTGTACTGTGCAATTTAGGCATTGTTGCTAGCCATAGAATCCCAAACTCGGTTCTCCAGCTTCCCAGCAATTACATGAGCTGTCCATCTCCTTTCAACAAATTCCTCTGCTGCTTAAATCAGCCAGACTTTGTTTTCTGTTGCTTATAACTAAGAAACCTGATTGAAACAACACAAACATCTGAACACTATCCAAGCTTAAGAAAACACAACTTTAAACTTTGTTCATCACTCTAGAGTAGACAAATCTAATCTACACTGACAAAATGCAGCTCAACAGTTGCCTGGAGCAGGAGGTGGAGGGATAACTGGGAAGAGGCATAGGGATTTTTCTTTTTCTTTTTTTTTTTTTTTTTTTTGAGACAAGGTCTCACTCTGCTGCCCAGGCTGCGGTGCAGCGGCTTATGATGGCTCACTGTAGCCTTGAACTCCTGGGCTCAAGTGATCCTCCCACCTCAGCCTCCTAAGTAGCTAGGACTACAGGTGGATACCACTATGCCTCGCAGATTTTTTTATTTTCGTAGAGTCAGGGGACTATGTTACCGAGGCTGGTCTTGAACTCCGGGGCTCAAGCGAATCCCTTTCCTTGGCCTCCCAAAGTGCTGAGATTGTAAGTCATAAACCACTATGCCTGGCTGCACAGGAAACTTTTTAGGATGATAGAAATGTTCTACTGCTTAATTGTGTTAGTGGTATATGGGTGCACTAATTTGTCAAAACTCATTGAATGTATATTTTAATTGGGTACGTTTTATCTTACATAAATTATACCTGAAGAGAGTTGATTTAAGACTTTATTATGGGCCGGGTGTGGTGGCTCATGCCTGTAATCCCAGCACTTTGGGAGGCTGAGGTATACGGATAACTTGAGGTCAGGAGTTGGAAACCAGCCTGGCCAACATGGTGAAACCCCGTATCTACTACCAACACAAAAAATAGCTGGACATGGTGGCAGGTGCCTGTAATCCCAGCTACTAGAGAGGCTGAGGCAGGAGAATTGCTTGAACCTGGGAGGTGGAGGTTGCAGTGAGCCAAGATCATACCACTGCACTCCAGCCTGGGCGACATAGCAAGACTGTGTCTCAAAAAAAAAAGGCAGGGCACAGTGGCTTATGCCTGTAATCCCAGCACTTTGGGAGGCTGAGGTGGGCAGATCACCTGAGGTCACAAGTTCTAGACCAGCCTGATCAACATGGAGAAACCCCATCTCTACTAAAAGTACGAAATTAGCCAGGCGTGGTAGCACATGCCTGTAGTCCCAGCTACTCAGGAGGCTGAGACAGGAGAATCGCTTGAACCCAGGAGGCAGAGGTTGCAGTGAGACAAGATGATGCCATTGCACTCCAGCCTGGGCAACAAGGACAAAATTCCATCTCAAGAAACAAACAAACAAAAAATAACAACAACAAAAAAAACACTTTACTATAAAATATGGAATGTGTCCAAACCAAATAATAATAATAAGTTGCCAGGGTGGGAAGATACACACTGGTAAAAAGCTATTGGAAAACAGCTACATAGTTATAAGTGAGGAATATAAAGAAAGGCCCAAAGTCAAGGCCATATGCTGTTTAAACTCTTGCACATCTTTCATGTAAGCATGAAAGTTATGCCAAGGTAGGGCATCTTTCATAACTATCTTGAATCTTTTTTCACAACCAATATAAACATTACTAAGATGAGGACTCTCTCCTCCTTAGCAATTGTTAATTTACTTGATATCTAATCCATTCTAGAATGAACATAATTAAATCACAGAATGTTACAGCCAGAGTCCTGAGAAAATTATTCTCTCCAACTTATTCATTTATAAAAGAAGCAAATGAGACCTGAGGAGGGGAAGAGAAGCGGCCTGCCCAAAGCCACACAGCTTTAAAAGTGGTCTTTAGAAGTGATTTCTGTTACTATTTCGGGGAAAAAAAATCTTTAAATATGCAAAGCCATGTCTTTATGGGATTTTTGTGGGTGATTTTTCCTGGAGATTTAGTCATTAATCTGTAACTAATTGAAAACAAAAAACAAAAATCCATATATCATAGGTAAAATGAAAACTTATACATTTTCTAAGCTAGAATATCCTCATACTCACGTATGTACACAGGACCACTTATTTCAAGACATATTACTTTATTTTATTTTATTTTTTGTAGAAACGGAGTCTTGATCTGCCCAGGCTGGAGTGCAATGACATGATCATAGCTCAGTGTAACCTGGAACTCTTGGGCTTAAGGGACCCACCTGCTTCAGCCTCCCAAGTAGCTTGGATTACAGGCATATGCCACCATCCATGGCTAATTTTTTATTTTTTGTAGAGACAGCATCTCCCCATGTTGCCTAGGCTGTTCTTGACCTCCGAGCCTCAAGCAATTCTTCCACTTTGTCCTCCCAAAGTGTTGAGACTATAGGCGGAGCCACCATGAGACATAATAAACATGTGTGATGGATAGTAAGTTAGAAATTTTATTTAATAAATTACAAAAGCAACAAAACTACATTAGAGGCCAGGCATGGTGGCTCACGCTTATAATCCCAGCACTTTGGAAGGCTGAGGCGAGCAGATAGCTTGAAACAGGAGTTCAGCAACAGCCTGGCCAACATGTTGAAACCCTGCTCTACTAAAAATATAAAAATTAGTCAGGCATGGTAGTGCACACTTGTAATCTCAGCTACTCAGGAGAATCACTTGAACCCAGGAGGCAGAGATTGCAGTGAGCTGAGATCGCGCCACTTCACTCCAGCCTGGGGAACAGAGTGAAACTCCATCTAAAAACAAAAACAAAAACAAAAACACTACATTAGAGAAAATTTGGAAAGTATATAGGGAACAAAGCAACTGCAATGCTTCCACTTAAACAACTATCCTGATCACTTGTTTGTATTGACTGTTAATATTTTTTCTCTGGAATGTTTTACATAATTATTAATGAAGCCTACCTAAAATTTTATGCCTACCTTTCCTATCTATATTATAGCATAAACATTTTACTTTCTTTTAAAAATTGGATCATGGCTGAGTGCAGTGACTCATGCCTGTAATCCCAGCATTTTGGATGGCCAAGGATGGAGGATCACTTGAGGCCAGGAGTTCAAGATCAGCCTAGGCAACATAGCAAGATCCCATCTCTGTAAAGGAAAAAATAAAATAAACATGGGATTATTATTGTACAGATAAAAAAAGTGAAGAAAAACTTTTTAAAAATTAAAAAAATTGGAACATTATTATTTATGCTGTTTTTATTGTGGCTGTTTGAGCAGAGGGTATAAGTGTTTCTCCCCAATCCCAACTGATGTTAATAATCTCTGGTATTCTTTCATTCTTTTTTCCATCCTCATGTAATTGCATGCAGTCATATACAGAATATACATATATGGAGTCGGGTTGTCACTGCAGGTTTATATAGTATACTTCTCTGCATCTTACTCTCACTTAATACATTGTGGCCATCTCTCCAAGTTAATTGGTATAGATCTAAGAAATTACTTTTTTTTTTTTTTTTTTTTGGAGATGGAGTCTCACTGTCTTCCCAGGCTAGAGTGCAGTGGTAGGATCTTGGCTTACCGCAACCTCTGTCTCCCGGTTTCAAGCGATTCTCTTGCCTTAGCCTCCAGAGTAGCTGGGATTACAGGTGCATGCCACCATGCCTAGCTAATTTTTGTAATTTTAGTAGGGATGAGGTTTCACCATTTTGGCCAGGCTGGACTCGAACTCCTGAGTTCAGGTGACCTGCTTGGTTCGGCCTCCCAAAATGCTGGAATTACAGGTGTGAGCCACCACACTTGGCCCTAAGAAGTTACTTGTAATAATATTCCATGGTACA